CTTGAAAGTTCCAGAATGACGCGATCTTAAACAGAGTTTGCACGCCAGCCGGACGCTAGCTACAGCCCACTCGGCGGAGCGGACGACGTGCGGGGTAAGAGGGGGAGGGCATTTTTTTCTCTTTTACCCTCTCTGCTATGACCCTAATGGAACGGTCTATAACTGACGTAAAGAGCACTTAAAAAGACTTGACAAGAGTGCGCTTCAAACGACAATAATAATAATTATTAAAAGCTGCTGGACCTCCGCTGGACACTCTGAGACACGGTGGAATACTCGTCGCAATAAAAAATCTAAAGAAGCTAAATAAATAGCCTAACGGTCATTGGCGGCGTCATGAGGCCTCGCCGAGTGCGGAGTATAACGGTCTTGCAATACGGTATATATTGTGCATTCTTACTTTTCTTTTTTTTAGACTACGTCGAATTCTGAAACGAAGACTCCCTTCTTCCTTCGTTCCAACGTGTTGTTTGTTACTGAATTAACAAATCAGCTTCAAATAAGGGTAGTGGCATCCTCTAGGGTAAAGAAACAAAAAAGAAAACAAATAACGAACAATTGCGAGCAACACCTCTCATCAAAGAACATGCCGCCCGAAAATCTGACGGCTCCTTTCGTATTTCTTTTTATTTTTATTCACTTTGTTAATTTATTTTGTTGTTGGGTCCGACTGTTGTCTTCCTTGCAACGATGCCGACCATGGCAACCATTGTAATCGTACGAGTGGCGTTTGTTTTGTTACGCGATGGTGTGGTCCGACCGATTAACCAATGAGTTTGTTAGAATGGTGTCACGAGGTTCAAAATGGGGGATAAATAAAATTAATAAATGAAAAGAAGCGCGCAGTTCTGCTCGTTTAGCCTTCTCGGCGCCTTATTCTTCCAGAGGCGAGCATCGCAGTGCCATGGCGTTTAACTTGTGCCATCTTCATGACGCCATTAAAGACCCTCTTAAAGCAATTAATTTGCTCCAGGGCGTGGGCCTGCTCCTGGGTTCCCGTGCGTGCTTGCAGAGTGCGAAGCTGCGATGACGCTGCAAGTTCACGCTAGATCTGGGAATGGCTACTCGTGGAGGTGCGGTGTGTGGATGACTCGTGAAGTGCCCAAGAGGAAGCTGGTCAAGGTTCAGTGCCGGGGCGAGGCCTCGGTACGGAGTGGTTCTTTTTTCGAGGGATCGTACCTGACGCTTCCCCAACTCATGAAAATCACCTAATCCTGATGCCAGAACCTACCGTGGCCCGTCGTTCAGCGGGAAACTGATGTCGCGAGAAAGACAATAACTGATTGGACGAGCCTTTGTCGGGAGGTTGTGGTGAATGCCGTCTTTACGCATTCAGAGATGATTGGCGGCGAAGGCGTGACTGTAGAACTAGACAAGAGTATGTTCGGGCGGCGAAAGTACCATCGCGGGTATTTAAGGTCTGGCCAGTGGGTTTCTGGCTGTGTGGAGCGTGGCAGCGGGTGCTGCTTTCTTGCTCCAGTGAAGACCCTTGACGCTAAAACCCTGCTAGGGCTAATAGCCGAGTGGGTCCGCCCTGGAACAAGAATAATCACTGACTGCTGGGCTGGCTATCGCAAGCTTGCAGATGACGCTCACTTCACGCACCTCACTGTCAACCACAAGCAGCATGGGTCTAAAGTATCAATGTGCCAAGAAATCTACAAAGCGCCGGCCGTTCGTTGCCCGTCTGACTGTAATTAATTGCGCATTAATCTTAGGCTTAGCGGCGCTTTGTGTTACAGAGGATGAACTGAATAGACCAATCCACACCCTCGTACGTATACTGACAAAGCCTGGCAGATCGCCACGAGAAGCGGCCGCCGAAATGAAAAAAGGTAGAACGACAGATAACAGGCGAGAGGAGAGCCATGTAAACGGCGCCCCGCTGAGGCGAGACGCTGAAACACTTCTCTCGAGCGAATAAGTGTGTTTCCGGCCTTCGCAGCTTCAAACGGTATGCGCTGACATCCAGGTTCCTCGAGAAATGGCTCTTTGGTGCCCTGTGCTACCAGATCCTCGCGCTCCAAATCGGCGACCAGGCACTCTATGGTTCCGTGGTCGAACTGCCAGGTTTTGCGTGTATAGAGGAGTCTATGACCGATCTCACTAAGCATCGGGCGCATGCGTGAAGCCGCCGTAACTTTAGTTCACCGGAGGCTGGCGCCAGTGATAGAGACGGATCGTGCCGTCTCGTGCTCCGCACCCGCAGAGCTCCAGCAAGGTAGTCGTACGTGCAAAAGTACTACAGTTCCCTCGATGCATCCCGGCAGCGGTGGCGAAACCAAACTGGGTGGACCAGCTCTGGGGTGGAGAGATCGATCTATGAAATTTGTTTCGGTAGTGGGTGCATTCGGCGCAAATTGACTGAATGTGGCGCTGCTAAAGCTATAAATTTAATAAAAGGCACTTTTGAGTCGCCCGTCAGTGACTCGATTAATTCCTAATTCTGAAGTTTTGGTTGGGAGCAGAGTACCCAATTCGCGAAGTTTGTTTTTATGTTGTTTTTTCTTAAAGTGATTTGGGGTTGTGCTTTAAATAATAGATTTCAAAATATGTGCTCGTTTGTGTCGCTGTTTTCACGCTGCGTCGTATACACACTTTAAGACCTGTTGATTAAAATATGATAGAATATCTTTCGGAAGCACTTTCTTTAGGGCAACATTTTATATTTTTGGACAGAAGTGTTGAGATGCGTAAGCCAATTAATTGTACATGACACATGTGCTCAAAACTTTCATATACTATCGGAACGACAAATTACAATCTTCAAAAATATACTAATGAATTCATATGTTGAGTTGGTTATTGAAATTGTAAACTAAATGTGCTGTTGGAGTAGGGAGAGGTTCTACGATGAGTCACGACTGATTTCCAATTGTTTCTCGAGTTTCGCATTCGGTGATATGATTAAGCTAACCCTTAGGATCAAGTGAGGGGAGTAAATACTCAAAGAAAAGAGAAACTGTGCCTGACAAGCGCACGCCGCAATTTGCACCCATGACAACCTTAAAAAAAGTTCTTGAATTAGCTTACCAGCCATCAGTGATAACAATTTTGATTTATAGTGACGCTCTTAAAGACCCTTTAAGAACAAACGTGTCAGAGATTAGGGAAAGCAAACTTCATTGTATGACTCTACATAAAGAATGGTTCTAGAAGCATAGTAATTTTGTTATAACAAAGCCATCACTGAAAACTACTATTGTGCCGAGGTATTCGAAAACGGGTGCTCGCAATTAATTGGTATATTTTAAATCGAACAATCGATTCTGAACGTGTTATACAAACGGATACTTTTACATACGCTTAATTCATGGAGGACTGTCTGGTACAACGCCACGTTTCATTGTTATCAAAAGAAAACTGAACAAAAATGCTCGCTATGTAATATGTGGTTGAACGTGTTTAATCACAAATTTGGTAAACTATTGTTTTGTGTGTTTAGCTTAGAGGCTATTTTTATTGATTCTTTTTTACTGGATTTAAATACGGCGAATCCATATTTCGATTCATTCAGTTCAGCTTCTCCGGCATACCTTTGTCATTGCATTTCTTTATTCAGGTCAATTGATATGTTTTAAGGCAGGTTCACTCAATTGTGTTTGCTTACGACCGAGCTATGTGATATCTGACGACAAGAGCACATATTGGCTCGCTAACGTCATCTATGAGGGGCCCTGGAGCTGCATTTCACTAGAGCGAAGGTTTTGCAGTATTTTTGAGATCAAATGTTCGTACTATCCATGAGAAATGGATGCTTATTAAATTGCCAAAATTTTTTCTGAAGCCAAGAAAAAAATATTGATGCGCGGCAGAAAGTAGGAAATATACGTGAATTGCAAGTGTGCCATGACTATTGATAGATGAAGTCAGTGAGTCCTCTCTTCGTTAGAGAACACAAGTAGCTTTAAACAACTCGGTGTGCAAGCTGTGAAAAATGTGTGAAGTAGGCTTAACGTGTTTGCACTTCTTGATTATGTACTCTATTAAAAAACATATCTACTGCGAATCTCCCTCAAAAATACTGCCCTCCGTTTGTTCATTTAAGTGCATGCATTTTCTAGCGGACAGGTGTAGGTAGCCAAGACGACAGCGGAAGTAAAGATGTTAAGGAAAGAATTAAAACAAAAACTCTGTAGTTGGACACTTCATGAACATTCTTCACAAGGAAGCCCAAAAGGGTACAAGCAATAGGTTAAAACCTTTTGTGGTTAACCGATCGTGTATATGTTTTTTTTTTTTTTTGTATCCCCGTTACATCCGCCCTTTCTCGAGTGAGTTAAATTACAGTGGCGCCTTTGTAAGAATATCCTATACGCCCTCCCGGTCCTGTGCTAGACGGCTACGGTCACCGTGTTTCCGAAATCAAATTTGCCAGCTCTCTGCGCAAATTTGTATCGATCTAGTAAGCGAATCATATGACAAAGAAAACGTTGCATTAAATCTTGTATATGCTGGGTTTCACCACTTAAGTGGTTTAGTAAGAATCAAAGCTATAAACAGTTTTCTTAAAATTATTAACAGGACCGTATTTCAGGTTCATGCAGAGACCAATGTTATGACAATAGATCCACACGACAGTCCGTCTGGCAGTATGTTGAAGAGGATCGTCATTTATTTAGTCATAGCAAATTGAGTAGCTTTATCAGACACTGATCACTGCTCGAGCTCTTGTCCACCTGCATTTATTTAGGTGTGCATATTGTTACAATGTTAGCTGCTTCGTGTGAACCTGTATACAAGTTCTCAAATGTATATATTTATAGAAATAAAAGCTTCTGAATTTAATAAAGAAGAAAATATTTTTCATTCGTAAAATTTCTCATACGTGTGAGGTCGTGCAAAGTTGAATACCCTTCGTTTCAGCTGGTAGCATAAAACATTAGCTTCTGAACACGCCTTTTTTATCTGGTATTGTAGTCCTCACAAAAATCACGCTTTTTTGAACGAAAGTTTTAAGCAAGTCGGAAGATACTGCACCTGCAGCGTGGTATACTCACAGTCAATTCGGATGAACTTTTCCACAAACATGGTCTTGAAGGAAGGAGCGTCGGCAGACACCTCACACTTGTAGTTTCCGCCCGTGAGAAAGTCCACATCTCGGATGTAGACCGTGCCATTGTTGGAGCGTTGCAACTGCAATGAGAGCACGGCCGGTATAACCTGGAGCACTTAAAGGGTAACTGCAAAGAAAAAAAATGTTTTTGTTTAAACAGCCTAATTGGGACAAGCACGTCAAAAACGATTTTTCCGCGAGAAAAAACATTTTTTACAGCAATATTTATCGCGTGAGACCGATTCTAGTTTGCGGCTATTTCGCCCGTTTTAAATCGCGCGCCACCAAGTTGGGATTCAGTGACGTTGAATCCCAATCGGCAGCTGTACTTCTCATTTGCTAAGAGTTTGATTGACAGCTTAGCTCTTGGTTGTTAAACCTTTGTTATATGTTGCAATTTCCTTTTGAGCGGCGTATTTTTACGTTTAAAGAATAACCTATGTGATGAGAGTTATTATTCTTTACAAAAGGTTTACAAGACGGGCACTTCCGTTCGGATTCATACCATAACAAGCAAAATCTTCGCCATTCTTTCATGGCCGCCGAAGTCTCCGCTACCGCCTGTCTCGCCTACCTCGACTAATCGTTTCGCCGAAGTGATCAGTGTTTCGTGCTGACCCAGGTTACACCCAGGTTTTGAGTGAGACGTCTTGAAGTGAAGTATGTGTGTTCAGCAGCTGTCGCAGGCGTTAGTGATAGGAAGCGATGCGGGGTTTTGGCTTTCATAGCGCGGTTCTTTCGTTTTACTCTTTGCTTGCTTAGCGTGTTTTTTTTTCTTTTTTTTTGTCACTTGCAAATGCTGACTTTTCGGAGATGTCAAATGAGTGATCCCGACAGCGAGCCTTCCAGCAGCCATGTCGCCCTGAAAGGAATGCTATTTGGCTGGAGGCAATCGAGAGTTCGCGTAGCGAGAAACGTGTGCAGTTACGTTCTTGTGATATCGCTCCAGAGGCCGTCGAGATTCGCACCGGGTGCCCTGGGTGCATCGAACGTCCGCGACCAGACACAGCTGTTACGTAAAAAACCTGGCACAGCCAGGTGATTACATAATAGCTGTCCGCAGAAGCCCTCTGACGTTCGAATTCTGGGTTCGCCGACAGATTTTGTTTCTCGGATTTCGAACCATCTTACTTAAAATGTTTGAATGAATATGTACTGTTATCGTAAACCTTGGCTCGTGATCTCGGCTTTGTAGATTATCGTATTCGTATTCTGGAGAGACGCAAACGACGGGCATAACAACATCAGTTGCATATTCCGCATACCTCGCAAAAGCACTTCCCCAGTGACCTTGCGAAAAGCGCGAAACACAGAGTCCGCACCGTCCCGCTTTAGAGCAGTTTGTAGCTGCTAGTGTCTGCTGAAGCTTTAAACTAAGGGCAGTGCCGGAGAGTAAGGAGACAAATTTCGGAAAGCTTGCTCGCCCTCCCCAATTTTTGAACTTTCAAGTGATTGTACCCTAATAAATGCACAACGCCTCTTCCCAGAATAACAAAAAAGCAGTATGTTCACTACGCAAAAAATGGTCTCAGTTCATGCATCATTGGGCAGGTAGGAAACCTTGCCCAAATTTATTCACACCGCACGATGAGCGCAACATGTCGCTGTGCAAACGCAGTCGAACAACACGAAGCATAAAAACGGCAGATTTAGGACAACACTTCGCAGTTCATTGTTCAATTAAAACGACGTAATTTTGCTGAAAACGCCCGCAGCTTTTTACTCACGGTATGCGTTGGGAATCTCCCACATTTGGAAACGGAACGAAGGAAGATTTACTTTTAAAAACGCTCGGCGCGTCCTCCTGGACCAGTTTGACTGGATCAGCTGACGACGACGGGACTGAACCCGTTTAACCTCAACCCCACAACAGCCAATTTACGCTCCGTGTTGGGTGTCTTCTTCCAAGCACTGCACCACACACACCACGAACGTTTCAGTTCTTTGTCGCGTCGCCGTGTTGCACCAACGAGATCCCCGAAGTCAACGCAGCGCTGTCGTGAACGTTGGCTTGTGGTTGCACACTCCTGGACCCTGTGACTCCCTTCGCTTTCAAAGCACACACGGCGATTACGAATCATACTTTGCGTCTTCCGGGAACATCACAGGGGCAAGTCTCCGGTCATGTCCTCGCTATGTGCTCGCAAACCCCGCAGCTTCTCGTGTACCGTCAAACCAAAACAATGCCGGCGCCAATGCCGCGCCATGTTTAGCGTGCGTTGTTGCCAGATCTTACCGGAAGTCGAGAAGCTGCGTCGTTCAACTCAGCAGCCAAGTTCACAAAAAAGAGTAAATTCAAGGGTGAAGGGCGGGGCGTAGTTCTCCGCGGCGGTCGAAAGAGCGGGAGTTTCAAGTGTGGCGATGTTCTGACTCCGACTAAATTACGTCCGGTGACGTAAAAATTGCTAAAGAAAACGTTATTTTTTTCGCGGAACATTTGTTTTATGACATGCTTGTCCCAATTAGGCTGTTTAGAAAAACACTTTTTTTTTCTTTGCAGTTACCCTTTAAACAGCACGGTGGTCACAGGAAAGCACATAAATAAGAGCACAAAATTATGAGCCAGTTATAACAGGTATGAATAAATTGAGAACTCCTAATATCTTCGGGGAACTATAATGATCATCTTTATTTCCAGACATACATCGGTCTGAGGAGCTTCGGCTAATGAAGAGAAAAAGAGTCTTTTGACCGGGCCATCAGCCCCTTACAGCGGTTAACGGTGTGCTGGGCCAGTATGAGAATAAAGACAAGCATAAAAAATGACGTCAACTTCATCGAAAGTTTTAAATACAAGTCAATCGCATCGACATCATTAAAATCCCATTAATTAATATATAATATCAGTAAACGTTTTAATTTAAAATAATCTAGTTCTGCAGTATTTAAACAGAAACAAGAATATAAAAATATATTTGAAAGATATTGGTACATTTTTTTTGACAGTCCAATTCTCAGTAAAATTATTAATAAAAACACTATAAAAACATTGAAATTTGATCGTCACTGGTAGGTAGCCTTCTTACTCGCGGAACAGATTGCAAGTTTATGTTACTGCGTGTAAAATATGAAATTTTTTTTTCTATTCTCCTGAACGTGGGCATAGTTCGACATCAGCCTCATATTACATCTCTATAGACCCTTTCAGAAATTCAGTGCCATCTGGTGGTTCGTAAAGCAGTTTAGGTTTTGCCCTATCAATGGCGGAAATGAACTTGTATCGGCACCGTCACTTTCGCAAGTCGACGGCACGCGAGGAATTGTTCAGTGTGAGTTCTTTCTCAATCACTTTCAGGTCGATGGTGACCAAGAACGTGCATTCAGAACAAAGCTCCAACCCACTGAGATGCCTCGAGAAAATTCTATACACCAGAGTGCTTTAAAGCCGATTGTGTGCCACGACAGATTGACTGAATCTGAGCAATTAGAAATAAACGCTTACGTAGCTCTTGTGTTCCAGCCCTACTTCGCTTCGTAGTGACCCCCGAACGTACAGGCCTCGCAATATCCGCTTAGGAGCATCTTCAACGTCTTCCTTTATCAGTCACTAGAAGGCCGCCATTCGTATGGCACAGATGCCGTTCCACAGATGATGATAGTGATCAAAGTGGCCAGACTGAATTTCGGAAAGGGTCTATTGGGTTGGTTATTTAGAAGGTTGGAAAATTGGTAAGTAAGATTTGTGAGTTCCATAGCTTGTTCTAAGGTTTGGTTTTATGAAATGAGTGTGTCTGAGAGTGTAATGCGCAGGCCTATGACGATAATAATAATAATGTCCTTTATTTTCTGATAGTGTTCAAAAACGGCCACGAAGGCCTACTTACTGGTACACTATAAACAAGTAACCAAAGTCGGAGATATAACATTAGGTATAACCTTTTTCAATTCATATTGTCAAGGCAAAGCGGGTTTATAACGATTGCATCGTATGCAACGTAGGACCATGGCTAGTCCCGAGCAACTAAATACCGCCTAACAATAAGAAAAAAAAAAGCAGTCCTCAGGAATTTATTATTAAGCAAGAGTAAAAAACACAATATGCCTTGACCTTTGTTTTTAAAGCAGTCCCTGTCTATGGGTGCTTGGCTGTGCAAGGGCGGCACATGACGAATCACAGACGACATTTGCTGCTCTTGCTCAGAACGGGATGCTCACCCTTGAAGACAAAGGTGACAGCGCGCAGTAGACAGTTATTGGAATGATCTATAAAGCGAGCAGTTTTAACTTTTAATAGCCTCCATATCCACCTTGTTCAATGCTAAAGACACCTCACGTATGACGGAATATCGAATGGTGGCCTCATGTAACGAGACTGTAAAGTCCAAGATTGGATCACGTGTCTGTGGAGGTGACAAATATAGTTAAATTGAAGATATATATATATATATATATGTATATATATATATATATATATATATATATATATATATATATATATATATATATATATATATATATATATTTCTTTTTTCTGGAAAAGCGTTTTCTAGTAATCTAGTTAGTTTTTAAAGGGATACTGAAGCGAAACTTGAAATACGCCTATTATGGTCAGAAATAGGTTCAATATGATCAATGATATTCATAAATCATAATCGCGCGTTTGTATTTTGAACGGATGGCTATATTTTTCACCCTAATGAGCCCGATTGGGCGCGCGCTCAAAAATCGGCCATCGGAGAGCGCGATGCGTCTTGGGATATTGGGCGCATTCGTGACGTCACTTGTGCCAGTCGGGAAAGGCTACGGCGTGAATGTTGTGGTTGCGAGCGTTGCCACTTGGTGGCGCGTCGACGATTTACGACCTGTGACAACGTGGCCGTTTGAGATGTGCAAGGGCTGCACGCACGCTGCACCACGGGACCACGGCAAGTCGGCAACCACGGCAGCACTGACAAAACCAGCTCTGAGGCCGGATTCTCAAAGCGAATTCACGACGAAAAAAGTGCGTACGACAAATTTGAGAGAAAACCCGTGCTCTCGAAACGAAATTGTGGTAACCTTTGCGCAGGTTACGTCGGAATCCTACGACAGCTCCGAAGCTGTCTTACGCACTTTTTACGATCAAATCAACAAGGCCGAC